GTGACATACCACTAGTTGGAAGAACTTCAGCTTGGCCGAGTTGGTTATTCATGATACTGCTTCACAGCGCACAAGATCAAACACGCTTAAAAGAAATTTCACGCATACACAGGAAGAACACTCACGCAGCGCTGACTGACAACTCAAGTGTATTATGCATCATCTTCATCTTCCTTCACTCTGATGCAAATGGCAGTGAAACAAAAAACCGATGATCATATGAAAAAGAGAAAGGAAAAAAATGAATAAAAACAAAAAATAGAAGGAAGAAAATATAGAAGGAAGAAAAAATAATGGATTCTCTGTACAGCGGACGTTGCTACTGTGCTTGTGCTATATAGTTCAACTCTTTTTCCGTTAAGGCTAGCGAAGGAGTACTAACACAAATTCTATCTAGCCTTACAATGTTAGCGGCTTCTACTATTTCTCGCGTCAGTTTGCTCCTGCTCCGTCCCAATATGGTGCATTTGTCCAGGAGGGGAGAACATCCACACTCTCTGCAGTGGATGCCTAAATGACCCGAGTTGGCATTTTTGGCGTTATTGTGATGCTCACGAAGACGGTCATTCAGACAGCGACCCGTCTGTCCGATGTAACACTTGCCACAAGTGAGGGGGAAGGAATAGATTACTCCCTCACTGCAGGACACAAACTTTGTCTGATGGTTTTTGATGCATCCAACTGGTCGACCTGATGTCCCATTGACCTTCTTACACAAGCTAGAAAGTCGATTTTCTTCCTTCTATATTTTCTTCCTTCTATTTTTTGTTTTTATTCATTTTTTCCTTTCTCTTTTTCATATGATCATCGGTTTTTTGTTTCACTGCCATTTGCATCAGAGTGAAGGAAGATGAAGATGATGCATAATACACTTGAGTTGTCAGTCAGCGCTGCGTGAGTGTTCTTCCTGTGTATGCGTGAAATTTCTTTTAAGCGTGTTTGATCTTGTGCGCTGTGAAGCAGTATCATAGTTGGAAGACGCGATGGTGGCGCGCGACGGTCCAACGTTGCGACGGACGTGGAGCCTCTCCTTTGTAACTGTCGTTCGTGGTAACGGCTAATCGAACTTAAAGCGCAAAGCAGCGAGGGGAAGAATAAAAGTGTGAAAAAACGGACAACAAACGGTGGATGGATGGATGAATATATTGTAAGGTCTGTACACTCTGTAACGGGCGCCAACTTGCGCCACCTAGCCTAACATTTCGTCATCCTTAATTTTTTTTCTTAAATTTGGATGAAATTTTTTATGTAACAGACCCCCCCCCCCCCTCTTTTTTAAATTAAGTGTATTTTTTTTCTGTATTTTTTTTATCCATCCTAGATCTCTTCCACCAATCTTCCAATCTCCTCTTAGTTACCGCAATTCTTTCCCTATCCATTTGTCCATGCATGTTCGGAAAACCCAGTGCTCCGTCCAAATCCGTAGCCGTCCCCCTCAAGAGGGTGGGACGAAGCCCCATGAACCTTGAAAGTACATGTTCTATAGTTTCCCTTTCGGGGTTGCATACGTCGCGCAAAGTGTCTATTTCTTGGAATTTAGCCCTGTACGTTTTCGTTCTTAGCACCCTCGTTCTAGCTTCAAACAGCAAAGAGCTCCCCACTGAATTATCATACACCTGTGCCTTCTTTATTACACGCAACTTCGCCGCCGTTGTTGTCTGCTGCACACTCCGGATAAGCGGAGAAAAAAAAAATCGCGGTCGGGTGTAGCAACGTGACTTCCGGCCATAAACTTCCGCGCTCGTTTTTTTTTTGTGAGCAGTTGAGTTGTTTGGCTTTATTAAAAATGTACGTTACAATGTAGCAAAGTATTGACACCATTATTTACACTACTATAAATGACCTAACAATATTTTTTTTTAATTGGTGGTGTGTTAGTTTTTTTAAGGGCATTACAACAATTTTTACGTTGACAGAATTTGCAACTTGTATTTTGTTATATTGTTTCTCTAGGCACAAGCAAAAAAAAAATTCACCACTACCCCCGAAAAACTGCTATTCCGCTGCGTAATCGCGAACGCAAAAATGAAAGCCGTTTACGACTCCCTGTAAAGCCGAATTGAAGCGCAGCTCTTGAGAAGAAGGAGGGAAGGGAACTGAGGGGAGGGTATGCCCCTCCTCCCTCCGTGACCCCACAAGGTCACGTGATCTGGGGGTCACGTGACCTGGGGGTCACGTGACCTGGGGGTCACGTGACCTGGGGGTCACGTGACCTTACAGTTACGCCGACGGCGAAGCCGCTCAAGCCGGGAACGGGCGCCTAATGGTACTTTTACACCTGAAAAGAAATCCGCTGCCGCGGGAGCGGATCCGCTCCCGGCGGCGGCGGCGACGAGCGGGTTGCGTTTACATCTGTTTCCTTCGAGCAGTGGCGGCAGCGCCGGCTGCGGCAGCGGTTCCCGTAACGTCTCGGCAAACATGACGAGAAGGCGCGAGAGTTCCCCCCTCGGCTCTCTCTCTCCCGGGCGTTGCTGCTCCCGGAAGAACGCGTCCTCATGACGTAGGCAGCGTCGCGCTGCGCAAGAATGTCACATCTGGTCAGCGAAACGCCTCGTTCGGCGGCAGAAATAGATCCCGGACCTAAACGGCTCGCCGCCGCGTTTTCCGCCCAGCGTTTCGCCCCAGCGGCAAAAGCTGGGCGGATAAGCTGGCGGATCCGCAAGTGTAAACGTACCATAAGAGCTGAGCTCTAAAACGAATTAGTTGCCGATCTGCAGCCGCACGTGGCGGTGACGCGAACTGCAATGTCGTGTGAGGGGGAGTACACGCAAGTCAACAAAACCAGCCCCCTTCGCTTCTAGTCTCACCATGAGCCCCCTTGGCGAGCCATGTATTGTCTCGAATACTGGCCGCGAGGTTCTGCGATGATAATCCTTGAAATGTCGACAATCGCGGATGGAGCGGCAGGGGGCTCTGAAGTCAGAATCCAACGGGAAACCACTCAAAAGACGGCGTCGGAGTTGAGGCATACTTTGACCTTCAATTTGTTTCACTTTATAAAAGTATAAACTAGTGCGCCCCCCCCCCCCCCCCAAAAAAAAAAAAAAAAAAAAGATGGTTCGCTTGTTTTCTGTACTATAGGTGACAGATTAATTATCGCAGTTAACTGGCCAAATTCTGAAAATCATTGCACTGGGCCCCTTTAAAAGACAAGCATATGACTCCAGTAAAGATTTGTAGTTCTTGCAATGGCGGCTGGGCACCCGCTGGGCTGGTTTCTTCCATGGTGTCGACAACAAGATGAGAGACGGGGACGAATTAGAGAAAGTTTCTGATCAAAATGTATACTAAAGATTAATTTATAAAATTTTGTTTTTGAAACGCTGTACAGTGGTCGTTTGTACAAATTCAGGAATCCTAATATTAATGACGCTCGATTAGGCGTACCAGTCAATACCAAAATCGCACTTTTTCGCTCGTCTGCAGTTTATGTAGAGCTCCACTTTTCATCTTCTAGCCGGAACCGGCCAATCAGTTTGAACCTGGCCGAAGCCACGTAGCAGTGTCCCGTCCGACGAATGGCAGGCTAACAACAGAAACAGCACTTGAGCCCCTAACGAACACCACGGAATTGACTTCTTTCAAAATTCGAAGGGCTCCATCGCGGCGCAATGCTTCGATTGATTGTGTTCGATTTTAGCTATGGCGTCTTTAAGTTTTACCTCGCGTAATCAGGCGTATTAAGAAACACAGTTATTTTAAGAAAGTAGTTTCGTCAATGGACGCATAAAACAAGTAACAAACTTGTCGTCCAGCAACACTAATGCAAAGGTGCGAGCTCTGTGTACGCGTGCTCATTAGTTTTTACAGCGTGTTGACTCGTACACAAGCAAGATTCTCGAGCTTCCGAAAGTCGAGATTCTCAGTACTGGATCCTCCACATACCTCGAAAAGCTAGCAGAAAGGTTCGAGTACAACAATACAAGCACGACAAACTCTACGAGTGGTTCGGGCATGTGCTGAAGCTTCGAGGTCTGACCATTTCGGTTAGGACAAAAAAACGATGGGCTCGGAACAAGGAAACATAAGATAACGGCTGTTTATAGTCCACGCTTTGTGTATGTTCCCTTGCCGACGTGTCGATCGAAACCATGCCACTTTCTTCCCCGGGCAACTTGTTCCCGGAGTGCAACGCGCGCAGTGTATCATGACGGGATTTATGGAAGGGGCGTGCATTATCCTCGTCGCCCCTGCGACGCCAAGCCGCGACTGTACACGGATCAAATGTCTCAAATCTTGAGTAACTAAGACGATGGCGACGCGAACAAAACAAATGAAAGAGAAAGGACCGACTCGAGGAGACGAAACACGAGCGCACCGTGTAGACAGCCGTCCACAGCCTTACAATCCACAATTGAAGATCTAGCACAAGTTATGACCCGAGAGCAGGAAAAGCACAAGCTTTGTCGTCTAAGTTGTATTGCATGAACTCATTTGGTTACCGCGGAAGTATAATACAAATTATTTTGATTATATCCATTACACTTTGCAGCTCGGACTTTATGTCTTGAACTGTTTAGTCACATGAAATCAAATATTAAATGTATTACGTTTGTGATTGATGGCCCTCAAGCACCTGAATGAATGAAGCCAACTTTTGTTACTACGTATGCTCAGATCTCCCATTCTGCCCCTATGACTGACATTTCGTATAACTTTTTAAACAGTACAGCATATATTCTTTTTCGAAACCGGCGAGGAAAGGTTTTGGTGATGTTATCGAAGGACTGCTTATCGAGCTATTATATTTTACAATACTATTTTGTATCTGCAGTTAGTATTCTTCGGAATTTCACATATTACGACACATCTGATTGGGACTTTTTTTAAAATTGGAATACTACCATGAAAATCTCTGCTATAGCGCAGCTTTTCATGATAAAAACATAAGTATGAAATTTTTATTTTTGTCAGAACTCAGTCTAAGTCAGTGCCATATTCTCACCAAATGTGTCATGCAGTACACATAGTTTGTGCTATATCAAACTTGTTTATTTCAGCATTCTGGCACAGAGCACACGAAAGCTTTTTTTGTTGGTTGCTCAATTGCCTGCTGTGAAAAGGACGCAGGAAACTTGTATGTTATTCTTGCCCCCGATGGAACAAAAAGTGACGAATGCCAGGTGTGTCATTATACAGCTGAGTTATCCATTTCAGCTCCTTTTAATACCTTTGAAATTTTTACTCAATACGGCTGTATAAACTATTTTGTGTGCGTTTCGTATTTGCGATATCCGAGATATTTTCTTGGTGTTTCGTACTTATATATGATGTTTTATCTTGATTGTTTCGTGTACCACATTTTTTCTTTAATATTTATTTGATATACCTACTGTGTATGCTATTTCATGTGTTTTGCATTCATGTCACTATGCCTTTACCTGCCAATAGGTGTGCCCCTCTGTAGGCCAACGCGTTGTTTCAAGGACACGGAAAGTTAAATAAAAAAAAATTAATAAAGTCTCGTTAATGCTCTTTTTAGAGTTTACACAGGTTGACCTGCTTACTAAACGTGGATATAGAGAGATTGGAGTGCAGCCAAAAGAAGTAAATAACTCGCCAAGCTGCCATGTTGGTTTAGTAGACGATAAAGCAAAAAAGCTAAAAACAAAAAAAATGAAAGTCGTTTAAAACTTCCTGTAACGCTGAATTAGAGCGCAGCTCTTGAGGAGGAGGAGGGGAAGGTACGGAGAGGAGGCTATGCCCCTCCTCCTTCCCTTTAGGGAAAAATGTTCCGCTAGATTTAGCGGGGAAATTTTTTCCGCTAGACCTAGTAGGGAAAGTTTTCCGTTAGATCTAGCGGGGAAATTTTTTCTGTTATATATAGTGGGAAAATTTTCCGCTATACTTAGCGAGGAAATTTTTCCGCTAGATTTAGCGGGGAAATTTTTCCGCTAGCTGTAGCGGGGAAATTTTTCCGCCAGATTTAGTGGGGAAATTTAGCCATAATGCACCGCGCGGTTACGCCGACGGCGACGCCGACGCCGCTCAAGCCAGAAACGGGCGCCTTAGAGCTGCACTCTAAAGGAAACGGGGAAAGTACCACCGGTAGGGAAGTAGCGCCATCTGGGGGCAGTTCATTACACTACCAATTAGTTACTGCGGCAGATGAAGACACATTTTGAGGTCTTACGAAAAACCTAAACAACCGATGTCCCAGCTCTAGCAAGAGTGCTCATATGTTCTCTAAAATAATATTATTATTCAAGCCGTATGCATCGATTTCATTTTCCGTCCTAGCAATTGTATCTCGAAGGCTGGTGCCGCTGAGAGAGACAGTTTAGTAATATCCGTCTTGCTTAGACAGAAATAGACAAGCTTTTGATGGTAAATAAATGCTTAAACTGTAAGGGGGGGGGGGGGGGGTATTTGGTATAAAAATGGGCGGGAACCGCATCTAGGCTGCGTATTTTTTTTTTCTTGATCTACGTAATGTGATTGATGCAATAAGGTTTAAAACGACCTGCCGACTGAAATTGTTGTATTTCATTCCTCCTTTATTTCGCACCCCGTAAAACCCACTGTTAAAATAATGACCGCCTTGCTTGAACTATATTTGTCTTTGTTATGTATTTATTTAAACTCCAGCTTGATCCTCTATATTACAAATGTTTCTGACTACTTTTTTTTTATTTGTAATATTATGAATTCTTGGGCGTCGCAAACTTCTCCCTTCGTGCTTTGCATTCTCTAGTCACTGACAGAATGAGAACGACATTGCGATTTTTGAATGCCTTGCATCCAGCACGTACGCATTGCCTTTCCCCGTGCTTTGGCTGCTCGTGTACGGTTCAGGCTTACTGGACGCCCAAGCGTTACTGAAGTAACGAAGCTGGCGCGGGAGGCGGAAACCCGAACCACCTCTCTGTCCTTCTCATGCTGTCGGTAACTATAGTTCAAATGCTTTTTTCTAGTATTGTCTGCCTCTCTAGAATACTATCTTAAAAGTAAGTTGTAAGCAAGTACAAACCGAGCGTGTTGATAACGATACTGTGAAACCCTTTATTTTTTCTGTCCCTAATTTTCGTGAATCGGTCAAAGAGGACATAATAACGGTCACTAAATTTCGCGAATTCTAGACGCCTGCGTTGAAACTCTTAAGGACCGAAATTTTTGCGTGCCCCTAAAATTTACCTAGAGGAAGGTATTGTCCGTCCCGTTCTCTGTCTACCTTCCTTATGGTAGATGTTGTAGGTACTTCTGAAAATAATTATTACGCAAACACGGAGAACAATGTATTCTGTTATAATACCAAATGTACAGGCCTTCTTACAAAAGAGCGGGTGTCATCAGAATGTAAGTATTTAACGTGCTGGAGAGAATTTGAAATCGGGTGCAGCGAATATATGTATTTTCAGTCCATTGTGTTCTTTTTTGTTTGTGAATTTTTTTTTATCTTTCCGCATATTGCTAGAACCGCGCAGTTTAGACATAAAACCTATCTTTTGCGTAAGTCAGTGTAACTCTAGACTACCTATTCGACTATACAGCTTTTATACTGATAATGTTTACAACAATGGTTTGTTGTTCTGTTTTCAGCTTTGTCTTGCCGGAAGTTGTGCAAAGGAGTCAGTCACGTCTTCATCAAGCACACGTGGAGCGGTCTCTGGTGAATGAATTAATTGCCCAGTTAAAAGAGAAGCCTCCTGTGTGAATAACTAAATAAATAGATGGAATATAACTTTGGTATCTGCGAGTGCTTTGTAGACGGTCGAGTTCAGCTGCCATGGCGACATGTAATGGAGCGTCAAGTACTTCTCACCATGTAATGGCGACGAGCAATGGAGCGTCAAACAAGAGTCTAGCTGTGACGCCTCCTTTCCTTCTCGCTCTCCAGAGACTTGATATCCCGTGGAAATAGTGGCGGCGGGTGTCTGAAAATTACCTAGTGGCTTCGGAAGGCGACGCTCACGGACTTGATCGGCGGAAGGCCTTACTTCTACACTGCCTCGGTGGGGAAGGACAGCCAGTCTTCTACACTCTTCCGAAAGCATCGGTGGTATGGAACGAACCAACTGCCGGCGCGAAGACGCCCGCTGCCCCTGACGATTACGATGTCGCTTTGGCAGTCCTAGAGTCCTATACTTCGCGAAGACTTGGAACGTGGTCATGGGATGACACCGCTTCAGGCAGCAGCTACCGGCAGAACCTGTGGAAGTAGTCATTGGCGAGCTGCGAGACCTGTCGGTGCTCTGCGAGTTCGTACTCTTGGCGGACGAATTAATTCAAGATGAGCCGGTGGCGAAGACTACGAGCCAGCACTTACGATAGCGTATACTCTTGGCGGGGACTGGTCTAACCCTGGACCGCACGTTGTTCATCGGCCGACTGATCGCCGGAAGCGGTCCTGTACTCCAAGAAACTAGCATAGTCTTCATAGGTGGACGTTAAATCTATACCGAACGCCGAGCGACCACAGCGCATACAAGCAGGTGAGCCTTCATGCCTTCATCTTCCACTTTGAAGAACTTCCACCGCTGCGGGTCATAGGAACATCTCACAGGCAGGTCGTGGGGCCTCGCCATGTCGGGGCGCGTCCCGAATGCGAGGTGAGCCCGTATTCTCTTGCGGGCGGCTCTCCCCCGCCCGTCTGGTGACCTGCTTCGGACACATCCTTTGGGATCTCGACACTTGGGCGCGCCCACGCCTCCGGGGAGCCAGCCTACATCCGACCACCACGGGTAGCTCTGCTCGACGGAGCCTTCCTTTCCTGTCCTTACCCTCCCCCTTCCGTGATACTGTCAAGAACGGCAACGCGGACTCCGAGTGGTGATACTGTCAAAAGAGACAGCGCCGTTATCTCAGACATTGTTGGCCCTCTGGCAAACGTGTGGCGTTATCGTCCATAAACGCGTCATTACATGGATCCAAGGAACCTTTTCTGTTTCTACGTGGTACCCTCAAAGGGGAAACCCACAACATGCCAACCAAAACGGAAAGTCGGACATGTTCGTGCTGTTTTCAAGAGTACTGCAAGTCACACTAGCAAACGTGGTAGCCCAGTTTAACATACCCCCATTGAGTACAATTTCAGTTTTAAATTTGTACCACTGGGAAACACTGAATTCATTTGGAACTGACCTCCCCAGTTGGTGATTACGATTGAGTTTAGTTTCCTCAAGTGCTTTTCCTAATTGGAACTAATAAAACCTAATTCGCACCGAGTCAAACAATGGATTCTTCCAATTCGGTTGCAGTTGTTCAATGGGTTGTATGAATTAGAATCAGTCGATTCCAACTATACTAAGTCAACCATTAGGAGATATGCGAAATACAGTGCGCCATCTACTAGACGCGAGAACTAGATCCGCCATCTTGGTTAGGTCGCGAAGAGTGGCCTGACGAGTTCGTGTACGCTGGCGTGTGCTCCCCAAACTTTTTTTTTTCTACCGGCTAGATGCCATTCAAATGCTGTACACCTCTCTGCAAGCAATGTGGTGTCACTGAAAATGGGAATAAGGTATGTATCACAAAGGTATTCATACATACTATTCGAGTTATAAGAACAAGGTTCTGTGGTTTTTGAAGAGTTAGCATGAGGAAACCATCGTCGGTGTTTCCTCTTACTTTGACACATAAAATACAATCGCTAAAACTTCGCATGTTTCTACAAAAACTCCTTGGGGGAACCAAAATGGGTGGATTTTTTTTTATTTGCTGTTCAAAGATAACACAAAAAAGCGCCAATGTCATGTTCCGACGAACAGTCTCGCGATGTGCACACTTACCAGCATGATCATAAGGATGCATTTCTAACGCAGTGTTCTGAAAGAAGGCGCACAGCTGCAACCTTGAAGGACATAACTTTAATGGCGCCAACCTGTTGACTTCTTTCTCTATAGCGATGCATTCGCGATGAGTGCCTTAAATCGTGTAAATTTTATGATAGTGAAGCTCTCCACTGCTTGTAAGCTTATCTGTTACCCTTCCGTGGCTGTAAGCGCTAGTAACGCACGCCGCGAATATGTTGTTCCAACCTACAGAAAGCTTCACAGCCAAGTGGAAGCCCGTTGGGAGCATGCACTTCCTAATTATTTTACCGTTTTGCGTCTCTGCAACTTGTCAGTCCACTGAAATTTCGCTATGCCGTCCTAAGTGCAAATAAACTGCAAAGGCGTTTTCGGTACCGGCGCAGCAGCGAGCGCGCCGCTTTTTAAAACCGTCTTCTCTGCGCGAGTCCTCATGCAAACAACGCAGTCTGCGAAGCCACGCTCTCAAACAGGTGCCTTCGCGTGCACTGAACACAATTTGCGAGATTATATATACAGTGCAAAGGTGGCGGCGTGCCTGCAAAGTAAATGTGGCGACTCAATCTGAAGTATTTGTTTCTATGTCGTGCGTTTTTTTTTAAATGCCTATATTAGTGTAACCTTTTTGGTCCATATTAATATGCACCAGTATCCACGTACTTTGAGTCGCAGACGTTCGTCAACACCAATGAGGGCAGCATGTACGCTACGACGGCGCACACGTACGACTTGCTCTGCTGGCGAGGCGACGCCGTTGGCGACGCGCACAAGCTTGCGGACGTGTCATCAGAAAGGATTGGTAAAGCTTTTAGATTGTTTGGCCACATGCTATTGTTGGACGTCGGAAAATGTCCTCGTTGCGTCATTCCTCCGACGGGCTACACGGTTGATCAACGCGCTGGCGCGGCTCTCCGGCTCTCCGAGTTCCACCTAACAAAAATAAACGATCGGGGTGTACGCGCTGAGTGTTGCCAGATGTCCGAGAAACTTCGTATATTTCCTATTAGTCAGCCCATTTGGGTTGCATTATTTCGATTAGTTATCTCAAATGAAATGAGTTTCAAATAGGCATATCTGATTGGTGGTCCCAATCGAAATGGTAGTGCATTTTTTGCGTTTTCCCATTGCATATTGTGTAATAATAAATCATTTACTTCCACTTGATGCATACTTTTTGTGCGAATAAACTTAATTAGTGCGCGTTTCAATTGGCGTAACCTCTTAACACCACCATATATTTTATCTTCAAATTATTTTTTGTGCTCACTATCGTCCGGCAATCAATTTTTTTCAATATTCTGAGTGCAACAAAACTGAACATTAATGACAAAAATGTTCGTCGCCAGAATTGGTGGGAATCGTCGGCGGCTTCGATGTACACTGGGCAAGGATGGCGGCTGCGAGGACGCGGGAAGCATATGGAGCACAAGGCTCCGATGGCGTGCACGGCATCCGTGGCATGGTTGTGGCAGAGATTCGAGGAAGTTATTTTTTTGTTTTACCGCACTAGATTGTTAATGCTCCGGTGATAATTTATTTGGACAGCAAGCTCGTTAGAGAGCGAAAGATGAATCACTAAGGTTATTGGCAACAAGGTGAGGAATTTTTTTTTGTTTGTTTTTGTTTCCGTGCTTGCTGCATTGGAGATCGGGGATTATGGAATGTTGCATCAACTGAGACACTCGTAGTTTGATCTTCAGTGCAGGATACGAGCCGGAATGTAGCTTCACACAAGAATAAGTTCCGGGCGGCTATCAGTTCGAAAAGTTTTGGTACCCCGCGTAACGGGTATCGGTGAGAAAAAGACATCAAAACAAAACTATTGATCGCTGAATGCACTGACTTGCCCCAATACAAAACTTGGAGTTTCGTGATTCAAAAATTATGAAGAATTTTCATTACCTCAAAAAGTTGCAGATACATTGTTACTAAAATATCACCAGGTCCTAAATCTTCAGCATCTTATCCAACTGTTGGCACCACATTCGGCGCGCTCTCTGCTATTCATTATTTACTTTCGAGATACCAAATACACTTAATAGGTCACCAAGATGCCTGGTAGATACAGATAATGTGATCAAGCCTATTTTTTTTTCTTGCAAAGTGCTTGTGTCCAAGTTCTAACATAAAACTTTCAGCTTTCAAAAGCCATAATTGTAGTGTGCGGAGTTACTTCTCTTTAATTTAGTACGTTCTTGATGAAACACTTAAGTGGTTACGTCTGCAATTGTAAATCTGGTATCAAACCACAAGACATAAAATGATTAAACTGGCCACTTTTCCCCCTAAAATTTGGTTGCTGAAGCATAGAATGTTGGTACTTAAATTTTTGAACTGCGGCTGGGTCACTTATTTTCAAAACAGTTCACTTCACCTTATGAGAGAAATAATTAACCAAGATATCCTAATTATTCATTTTGTAGCCTTTGGCAGAAATCCACTTAGGTTGAACTTTTCTTTTTTCATCTTTCGAACTTTATGGGGAAGAAAGATACACAAAACAATTTGAAATTTTAAAACATTAAGGCTCAAACGGAAAGCACTATTTTTCTTGAATCTTATTTACTATCTTGGTTTGGTTATCTAAAATGATATCTCAACTTTGCGGAACCCCAAGTGCAGGCCCGAAGCTAGTCGTCCCATTTTGACACAAAGTCAATTTCTTTGCAACTTGAAGACATATCTATATTTTTACTCGAAATGTTAACGTATGTGTGTATTATTATTATTTTTTATTTCATTATGTGCTTTATGTTACCCAGCCGTGCAAATATTTAGTTTATTCTGTTGCGCGCAGATGTGTATTGATGTTTGTATAGAGTCGGCGTGCTCCCTGCCATTCCTTCTTTGTGTTAACCAGATTATATA